TACACAAATTATTTGAAACTTTTCCTATATAATCGGGAAACCTAATCTCTTCCCCTTGAATATAGGCTGGCTTTATTATATAACTAGTTTGTAGCAAATGTAAAGTGGCCGAAGAGAAGCTGTATGCTTTCTGAGGCTAGATCATAAATGGTGATATAGCTTTTTGCTAGGCTCTCTCTATCTCTCAGGACATTTGCCCTGGGACTTCCAAGTTAATATATAAGAACTCCAGTAACCCTGAAACTGCCATATGAGAGAGACCAGGTAGAGTTCACATAGACCTACAGAAGCTAGGATTCTGATCACCAATTCTGACGTGCGCGTTGTTTTGTTCTCCCGTACCGCTAAGCAATTCTGTGACATCAGCTGGGTGTCCTACAATTTAACTCAGTCCTGACACTACCCAGAGACAGCTTTGGATCCCACAGGTTAAGGGTTCAGTACTACAAGACTAGCTGTCAGAGGCCAATCACAAGTCCAGGCTGTTAACTGTGCTTCTCACCAAGTGGCTGTAGATTGGAGGCTCCAAGGACACCCTCTTTGGGTTTGATTAATTTGTGGGAGCGGCTCACACAACTTATTATAAAAGGATATAACTCAGGAACAGCCAGATGGGAAAGATGCATAGAGCAAGGTATGTGGGAAGGTGTGTGGGGCTTCTGTGCCCCCTCCAAGTACACCACTCTTTCCCAAATCTCCCTGTGTACACCAGCCTGGAAGCTCTCCAAATCCTGGCCTTTGGGTTTTTATGGAAACTTCATTACATAGGCATGATTGATTAAATCCTTGGCCATTTGTGATTAAACTCAACCTCCAGCCCTTTTCCCCTCCCCAGATGTCTGGGGTGGGACTGAAAGTTGCCAACCCTTTAATCACAGTTGGTTCCCCTGGCAACCAGCCCCCATCCCTAGGTGCTTCATTAACATAACAAAAGACACCTCTATCGCTCTCATCACAGGAAATTCCAAGGGTTTTAGGTCCTCTGTGCCGGGAAAGAAATGAGTAAGAACCAAATACATATTTCTCTTATTATAAATCACAGTATAACAGAAGCCCAATTGTGCCAGCTCTCTGTTTGAGTTTTCCAGCATCAACCATCAGACATGTGAGAAAGAATCAACCATCAGATATGTGAAAAAGACTGCAGATGAGTCCAGCCCTTAACCTTTGAATTTTCCCAGCGGATGCTGTGCAGAAATAGAGCAGTTCTTGCCGAGTTCTGCCCAAATTGCAGTTCCATGAACAAAATAAATTTTATTATTATTTTAAACTACTAATTTTGGGGTGATTATATTATACTTGATAATTGAACACTACAAAGCCATGATCCATCATAATTTAACTTTAAGAACTATTTTACTTATTTGGTTTTTTTTTAAAGATTTTATTTATTTATTTATTTGAGAGAGCGAGAATGAGAGAGAGAGAGAAAGAGAGCACATGAGAGGGGGAAGGGTCAGAGGGAGAAGCAGACTCCCTGCTGAGCAGGGAGCCGGACGTGGGACTGGATCCCGGGACTCCAGGATCATGACCTGAGCCGGAGGCAGTCGCTCAACCAACTGAGCCACCCAGGCACCCATATTTTACTTATTTGATACAGGGTCAACATTTATTCATTCTGCTCTCAAACTTTCCAAATGGTCCAAGATCTTAATCCGTGCCAACTCGTTGAAATATCATATTCTGTTCTATTTTACAATACCAGCTTAACTCCTGGCTGCCTTTCGTTCTTACACTTGCTTATCTACACTGGCCTTTCCTCATCCTTTGGCCCATTTAAAAGTGTTTTTAGATATTAAGCATGCTTACTTATAAAGGATCTAGCCCAGATATTACTGAACATAATAAAATGATACTCACAGTCTATGCCAAACACCATTTACATTCTGTTCTCCAAAGAGCTGACAGAATGATCCTTTTAAAAACTTAAGTTAGATGGAATGTTATTAAGAAAATTATAAGGAAGAGAAAATACATTTATAAATGTGTTGTTCAAAGGTCAACTGTATTTTCTTAGCAACTGTCAAGTACGTACTATAGCATTAACCATAATCACCATGCTGTACATTAGCTCCCCAGAACGTATTTATCTTATAACTGGAAGTTTATACCTTTGACCAACATATTCCCATTTCCCCCATCCCCAACTCCTAGAAGTCAGCCATCTACCTTGTTTCTATGAGTTCAGCTCCTTTAGATTCCACATATAAATGATGTCATACAGTATTTGCCTTTCTCTGTCTGACTTATTTCACTTAGCATAATACCCTCAAGGTCAGACCATGTTGTCCCAAATGGCAGGATTTACTTTTTTTTTTTTTTTTTACTTAAGCATAGCTGCCATATAATATTGTATCAGATCAGGTGTACAACATGGTGACTCGACAATTATACACATTAGGAAATGCTCACCACGATAAGTAGAGTAACCATCTGTCACCATACGAAGTTATTATGATATTATTGACTATATTCCCTATGCTGTATCTTTTCCATTCCCGTGGCTTATTTAGTTTATAACTGGAGTTTTGTATTTCTTAAATTTCCCTTTAACCTATTTCACCCATCCCCCTGACCCCCGTCCCCTCTGACAACCACCAGCTTGTTTTCTGTTTATGAGTCTATAGTCTATTTCTATTTTCTTGTTGTTTATTTGTCCATTTGTTTTGCTTTTTTTTAGATTTCACATATAAGTAAAGTCATATGGTATTTGTCTTTCTCCGACTTATTTCACTTAGCATAATACCCTCTAGGTATCCATGTCATCATGAATGATGAGATTTCATCCTTTTGTATGGTTCTGTAATATTCTATTCTCTCTCTCTCTCTCTCTCTATCTATCTATATATATATCACCTCTTCTTTATCCATTCATCTATCAATGGACACTTAGGTTGTTTTTATATCTTGGCTATTATAAGGAGGTGTTCTGGGCTGAATTTCATATCCCCCCACCTCAAATTCATATCTTGAAGTCCTAACCCCCAGTACCTCAGAAGGTGACTATATTTGGAGACAGTTCTTTAAAGAGGTAATTAAGGTAATTCAGGTTAAATGAAATCCTTAGGGTGAGCCCTAATCCAATAGGACTGGTGTCCTTATAAAAAGAGGAAATGTGGACCCAGACACATACAGAGGAAGACCAGGTGAAGACACAGGAAAAGAGATAAGCCTTCAGAAGACCCCCACCATGCTGACACCTGTTAGCCTCCAGAACTGTGAGGAAATAAACTGCTATAGTTTAAGCCACCTAGTCCTTGGTACTTTTTTATGGCAGTCCTAGCAAACTCACACAAGAGGAGGACTGGGAAAGTGCTAAGGGTACTTACATGTCGATAGGTTTGACACAAACAGGGAGAATGGACTGTGTGCCGATGACAGCTGGCAGGGATGATGCTGTCTTGAACCTCTCTGACAAGATCCTCTGTGTTGTGTTTTGGGCTAACAATTCTGTAGGGGCCTGTATGTGGGAGGAGAGTGAGGTGAAATGAAGGAAAAGCTACTTAGTCTTCTCAGGAAACATAAAGACTGTGTGTGTGTGTGTGTGTGTGTGTGTGTGTGTGTGTGTGCGTGTGCATAAAACATTATGTTGACCTTATGTAACTTCCAGTTAAGTACATTTTCATCCTTTTTAACATTGTATTTGACTAGGTGAGAAAGGCCAGGTTGAAGAGAAAAAAAATTACTCTCAGGCTTTTGTGGTTAATAGAAAGAAACATTTCTATCTTATTTAGGGGAATATAATTTTAATACTTAGGTGACAGAGAAAACTGACCAGATGAAGGCATCTTTGGTTTACAGTAAAACACAACTAGCTTTATTTTTTTTTCCTCTTATGATCAGATACACATAAATATTCAAAACAAAATTATATGTGAAAGGAGGGTGCATAAGAATAATTAAGAAAGAACAGAATACATAACAGATGGTCTTTACCTAGTTCCAATTAACTCAAGATTGTCAGGCTCTTTAGACTTGTACTGTTTATATCACACCCCAATTTGGTTGCAAAGTGGCCCTGCCCTCAGCTCTCAGGTGATAAATCTGAAAGATTGAGGTCAGATGTGTTGGACTAGGTAGGCAAGATAGAGACTGTCATTAGGAAGCAAACACATAACTACAAACTCCCAAGTGCACTGTAACCTCACATTTGAGCTGTAAGGTTATTATCCATCTGGCTGTGTGCTCTGGGAATGAACTGAGAAGGACAGATTCATTTCCCCAAACAATTAAGTGGGAACCAACAAAGAGGCAGGGCACTAATTAATATTCTACCAAAGGAAAAAAAAAAAGCGATCTTTTGAACATACGGATTATTTCCAACACTGACAGGTGCTTTGATAATAATACATCAATTTGAAGTAGGGGGGCAGATGGTAAGGATGGGCATCATTATTTCAAAATCTGAATGGCAGATAAAGTCTTACTTTAGTCAGTTTGGGCTGCTATGACAACATACCATAGACTGGGTAGCTTAAATAACACACATTTATTTCTCATAGTTTTAGAGACTGGAAGTCCAAGATCAAGGTGCCAGTATGGTCATGTTCTGGTGAAGACCTTCTTCCTGATTTACAGACAGCCATGTTCTCATTGTACCCTCATATGGCAGGGCAAGAAGAAGAGCTCTGGTTTCTCACTCTAAGGACACTAATTCCATTTATGAGGGCTCCATCCTCATGACCTAATTAGCCTCCACAGGTCTCATCTCTAAATACCATCACCTTTGGGTTTCAACATATGAATTTTGGGGGACACAAACATTCAGTTCACAGCAAGTCTTCACTAAGGCACCCGATAAAGTACGTATCTTGTCAACCTTCTACTATATGGAAGTCTGTAGATCCCTTACTCTTTTTAGTTCCTGAAGTCATTCATGAGTGTTGACTGTTTATTGACCGTCTCTCCCTCCCCTCTGTGGGAGAGAGCACTATTTAAAGACGCATATGACAGAATTCTGATCCTTTATGCACTTTAATTTGGGGAAAGGGTATACTTACCCAAGAAAAGTCTTCCATTCTCTTTCCCAGTCCTCTCCTTTCTTCCTCCTCCTCCTCCAACTTCATCTCCACCTTTTTCCTTTGAAGCTATCAAGGATTATAAAATGCATTTAGCTTAATCATGCAGATTTATCATTACTCATTCAGTTAACATAGATTGGTTAGAAGATGTGCTCTTTTTCCTTCTTGGCAATTTCCAATAACACAACCTATTGCACCACATTGACAAACCCAGTATGACAAGAGAAACCTGGGACTTAACTCCTAATTTGCACTGACATCAGCCAACAGTCAGAATTGCTTCTGGGCCCAGTGCTCATTTCCATCTCTTCCTGGAAGCCAGTTATTTTACAAGAATGTAATTGCAGGTAAGTAGCTGGAAAGAAAACATTTTGGAAGGACTAGGCATATACAAATACCTGAAAAAAAAAAAACAGGTAGTTAAGGGGAAATCTAGTTGCTATATTGGTCCAGAGGTATGTGTAGGTAAACATCTAGACATTTTATTACTTCAATTGTCTTAATTACTGGAGAGTGACAACTACTTATTTTCTTAGAGGGAACAGGAGCTGGTGGCACATTCTTTGTCTAACCACACAGTTCCTTCTGGTGAGTATGGGGGTGAACTGCCTGCCATTGATCTTTCTTGGGCACTGGAAGGCACACCTGATAATTACTTTAGAGCTTGTTTCTGAGACTAGAGGCCCTGATCAGTATGTTTTCAAGCATCAGGAAAAAGGAAGAGAAACTAATATTTATTGAACTTTCATATCCAGACTTTGTGCAAGGTTTTTTTTTACATAAGTATCTTATCTTTATAATAATACCCCCCAAATACACATTTTTGATTGAATCTTATTTTGCTTTTATGTAGGTCAAAAATAGTTGACTGCTGGCAATTTCACAGGCTTCAGCCTAATATTATCTTCATTTTTAATGACGAAAACCCATCAATTCACACTTGTTCTGTTTCCTATCTTCTACCCCCACCCTCTACCCAAGCTTCCCACTTTATAGCATAAAGCAATTGTTTTCAAACTTTAAAGGACAGGGCTTGTTAGAAAACAGATTGCTGGACCTCAACCTTAGAGTCTCGGGTTTAGTAAGTCTGCAATGGGACCGGAGATTTTGAATTTCTTTCTTTCTTTTTTTTTTTTTTTTAAAGATTTTAGTCATTTATTTATTTGAGAGAGAGAGATTGAGAGTGCATGTGACGGGGGAGGGAGAGAATCTCCAGCAGATTTCCAGCTGAGTGTGGAGCCCGATGCAGGGCTCGATGGGGTTCGATCCCCAGACCTGGATATCATGATCCCAGCTGAAACAAAGAGTTGGATGCTTAATCAACTGAGCCACCCAGGCACCCCAAGATTTTGAATTCCTAACAAATACCCAGATGCTGCTTCTGCGGCTTGTCCAAGATCACACTTTGGGATCCCCTGGTATAGAGGGATAGCATCCTCAAGAATGTACCTTTAAGACTTACTTCTCCCCCACATTGGTTCCAAAGCAACATTAAAAAATCCATATTTCCTTTAAAAATATTTTCCAAACGTGGCGTTGTCATTTTCACTTATCCTCAATTTATATTTCATTTATATATAATGCGTAAAACAGAAACTACATCACCTCAATTTTTAAAAGCCACAAAATTTTTCTGTTCATAGAACACAATTCCAGAAAAACTATTTCATAGATGAAGTCATATCAAAAGTCTAAAATTTAAAGTGTTGGAAATTGAGGGGTGAAAAAGCAAAGTGTGGTGGATAGGTAGGATAATGCAGTGGAGATTCACACATCCAGTTTGAGGTTGTGCTAGAAGTTCTCTCCTCAACTCCTTCCCCTACTGAGATTCTGGGAGACAAGCCCTGAGCCATGAATGATTCTCTCCACTTTATAGAAAAGGAAAGAGATTCAGAGGAGTAAAATGATTTTCCCATGGCTGGTTCATGGAAGAGCCCAGTTAGGGAGTGTTAAAAGATAAACCTAGGCACATGACACATTTTAAGAGTTTATTTGAGACAAGACCGATTCCAACCTGGCAGCGACGCCCTGGGAGTGGTCGGGGGTGCACTGCCAACAGGAGCAGAGGGAAAGACCTTTACAGAGAAAGTGTGGAAGCAAAGAAAGGAAATTATTTGATTGGCTGGAACTTAAATCCTCATGGGTTGTTTGAGATTGGTTGTCCTTAGATTTCATAACCTTGAGGCTTTTATAGGCTTAGATTTCGGTTTGCTTACATAGGCCACCATGGCTTGAGAGCCATGTCAATTTAATGGCCTCCTTTTTAAATTAATTTTACAGGAGTCAGGGCAAACCTCAGAATGGTGCCAGAGGGGGAACCAGAGCATAGGAGATGGGGACACATTACATATTTTGGTCTAGGATAGAGGAGGACATCTTATTCCTCTAATTTCCTCTCACTTTCATCTATATTGAAACAAATATATTAGGAGCAAATAGAAAATGCTACATTAATCTTGATCTACTAGGAAAACTCTAAAATCTTCGTGTGAACAATCCAGGTAGCCATCAGGTGCTCTGGTTATTGGCTCCTAAACACCTGGGTATTCAGAAACACCATTAGTTTTGTTCAAACAAAAGGGCATCTTCCTCTCTGTATGTTCTTCAGGACTTTCCCGAGGACTTGAGAAGTCTGTTTTTCTTTGTTTCCCTGTGTCCTTGTATTTATCTCTCCTTCTCTTTCTTTATCTCGCCCATTTTCTTTGTTCCTGCCATTATCACACAAGCTTCTTTTTTCTACCTGATTTGCTTTAATCCACCCAGCTCCTTTCTCTGTGTGTTTTCCATTTCAATGAATGAGAAATGCTTTCTTCATTTATTAGGACTTTCCCTGAAGGCTTTAGTGGGCTTTGCCCTAACTGGTTTTGCTTATCCTGAAGAACTCCTTGGAAATGGCTAAGAGATATCAATACTATTTAGCATTTACAAAGGACAAAGCAGTTGGAGAGATTTATTAGTAGGCAGTTGCTTATTTTTGTAAAACTTGGAGTATCTCAAAGATCCTTCTTCCTGGAAGAAGAATTATCCTGTACATCCTGGACAAATAACCTTACTTCCATGAACTTTGGCTTCCTGACCTATGAAAAGGCGATGATAATATTTCCTCACAGAGTTGTTATGAGGATAGAGTGAAAAAATATTCTTCAACTGTCTGTTATTATGTTCCTCCAAGCTACCCAATTCATTCATTCACTGACTCGCTTAAGGATGTGCCTTAGTCACTGTAAGCAGAATAGTGAACAACACTGGTCTTTGACCTCAGGGAACTTATAGAAGAGATAGACCAAAACAAATACTTGTAAAAATAACAAGCTGTAATAAAAATAACAAAGGAAAATAGATTGTACAACAAATTTAGTGAAGAAGAAGTATATTGTGTCATGAAAGTGCATGATGGGGGATCTGACCTAGCCTGCAGGAGTGGGTGATCAAGCATGGCTTCTCCACCAAAATGACATAGATGGGAAATGATACACAGTTGATCCTCAAACAATACGGGTTTGAACTGCTCAGACCCACTTATGCACAAGACTTTTTTCAATAAATACAGTACCGTACTGGAAATGTATTTTTTCTTCCTTATGATTTTCTTTTTATTAAAATTTAAATTCAATTAGCCAACATATAGTACATCATTAGTTTCAGATGTAGAGTTCAATAATTCATCAGTTGTGTATAACACCCAGTGCTCATCACATCATGTGCCCTCCTTAATGCCCATCACCCAATTACCCCATCCTCCCACTCACCTCCCCTCCCGCAACCTTCAGTTTGTTTCTTATGATTAAGAGTCTCTCATGGTTTTTCTCCCTCTCTGATGACTTCCCATTCAGTTTTCCCTCCCTTCCCTAATGGTCCTCTGCCCTGTTTCTTATATTCCACATATGAATGAAACCGTATGATAATTGTCTTTCTCTGATTGACTTATTTCACTCAGCATAATGCCCTCCAGTTCCATCCACATGGATGTTAATGGTAAATATTCATCCTTTTGATGGCTGAGTAATATTCCATTATATTATATTTTATATATATATATATATATATATATATATATATATATACCACACCTTCTTTATCCATCCATCTGCCGATGTACATCTTGGCTCTTACCACAGTTTGGTTATTGTGGACATTGCTGCTATAAACATTGGGGTGCAGATGCCCCTTTGGATCAATACATTTGTATCTTTGGGGTAAATACCCAGTAGTGCAATTGCTGGGTCATAGGGTAGCTGTATTTTTAACTTCTTGAAGAACCTCCATACTGTTTTCTGGAGTCTTCCTTACGATTTTCTGAATAACGTTTTATTTTCTCTAGCTTACTTTACTATAAGAATACAGTATAAAATACACATAACCTATAAAATATGTGTAAACTGGCCGTTTGTGTTATCCGTAAGGTCAACAGCAGACTATTAGTAGTAAAGTTTTGGGGGTGTCAAAGATAATTTGCAAATTTTCAACTGCACAATGGTTGGTGCCCACATCCCTGACATTGTTCAAGGATCAACTGTAGTTAGATTTTCCTTTTGACTCTGTTGGGCTAGAATCGATTGGACAAATGCCAAGAATGGAAGAGAGCTTTCTATTTAGGAGGCTCCCAGAGTTGTCTAGATAAGATATAGTGGCTTAGATTTCAGAGCTGGGGAGTAGTGGGAATGGAGCTTTAAGATACTTAACAGATTGAATGGTTGGGTTTTGTGACTCTTTGGTAGGTATACGATGTGAAGATGAGAATGATTAATGTGATTTCCAGGTTTCTGTTTAGCGTCCCAGGTCATAGTGGTGCCATTTACTCTTAGAAGGAATACATTTGAAGAGGAAGCTTGTTCTGGCTTGGATATATTGACTTTGAGATGCCCATAAAAATGTTTGACGAGCAAACAGTTCAATATATAGATCTGAACTGGACAAAAAGTATTGGAATTAATGTTTTTTAGAGGATATTTGGAACATGGGAGTGAATGAGGTATCTGGGAGAGAATCCCCAAGCAAACCAACTAGATCACAGTGATGGTGTTTCTAGACCATAGTTACCATGTATGGGG